CAAGTTTGTTTGTTATGGTAGAGCGTACATGTCACTTTTGATTGTTCTGGATTATATACACCAATGATAAACTATGGGATAATACAGTATAATCTCTGAGGTGGGGATTATCTAGACGTTTGCAAAGACATTTTTCTAAGTTATATAATTTCAATATATAGATGTAGTTTATTGTACTCAAATTTTTATAAGTACATTTATTTTTAATCGGTTAACCTACAGTCATTCTGGATGGGGCATATTATTATCACTGTTTTTAATATATATACTTAAAAACTAGCAACAAATTAACAAAAATTTCTTCCTTTTGACATTTTGAATAACCCAACTTACCTGAGCGCTATGGATTTTCCCTATATGTATCCTGCTAGTATCGTGTACAAGTCGGCTGAGACAATTATAAAAAATCAGTGTCGCCTAGCGTGGTACAGTAGGAGGGTGAGTCGGAACCTGATCAGCTCTGACGGGGTCGACTCAGCGAGGATGGTATGATGTTGTAAGGCCCGAAACTACCCAATGACCTGAGTAATTACATCACTGACGACACCCTCCAGCGCAATAAAAGTGTGTATTTCCGAAGCAAGAATTAGTGTGAAATTTTTAAAATGTAATTTTTATATCAAAGGAAAGTGTGATGGATCTGCTCATTATTTAACAATCAGTGTAATTGAAAAAATGTGTTGTTCCCTGTTAAATTATACAAAATATATAAATTTTCAAAGTGGGTGTAGACTTTTGTAAACCACTGTAAAATAAGTTAAATTTCATATCGGGATGTAAACATAGAAAATAGTGTGTAGGTAGGGGGCATTATAAAAAAAATTAAAAGCAAGTTTAAAGTTTAAAAGAGGAACGCCAGGTGACACTTTGAGTGATAATATAAGTTAAAATGGTTAATATATATATATATATATATATATATATATATATTTATTTTAAAAAAAAATATGATTGCTTCGCTACATAAGAGTTCTCTTGTTTCAAAAAGATCAATATAATTATTAAAATTAAATTGAATTAAAGTATCAAGTTCTGTTTCATCCTCGAGCGAAATTTCTAAAATTATTGAAGTTTTGGGCTCCTGGTTTCGAAACATGATAACTCTTATGTAGCAAGGGAATCACATTTTTTAAAAAAATAATTATTATTTAGGCTCTAGTTTTTTATTGGACACTGTTTTTTTAAAAAAAATAAAAATAAAAATACTAAAGAACTTCGTATTATTTACCTAACGTGTTCTTTCCTATTTTTTGACTATATATTTGCACACACACACAGACACACACACACACACATATATATACATACATATTGACATACATATATATATATATATATATACATACATACATACATACATATATATAATACATATATATATATATATATATATATATATATATATATATATATATATATATATATATATATATATATATATATATATATATATATATATATATTTACACACACACACACACATATATATATGTATATATATGAAGAAATATAGTTTTAAGATGTGGTATATTTCTGGGATATAGTGCTCACTATCAGAGATAGAGCATGTGTAAATTTAAAAGTTACCATAGATGTTAACATTCTCAGAGGCGACAGTCTGTTTCATGCTGGATGCAATCGCCAGGCCACCTTTATATATATATATATATATATATATATATATATATATATATATATATATATATGCTTGTGTGTGTGTCACCAATGATTCGGTAAAATATGAGAATACATGATGAATAAAAATGCGCAAAATTTACTAAAACAAAATTTTAGCATCATAAATTTTGTGTTATTATTCAAAGAAAATGATTTTCGATAGAAAATTATTTTTTAATTCTTTTTTTTTTTTTTTTTTCTGTGTCGTTCTACTTATGTAGTCGCATCCACAACTACATTTGAAATAGTAAATAACAGAGTTAATATGGTGGCGGGTAGAACATCTTTACACATAGATGAAAGTACGGACTTAGTTTGAAAGACATATTTAATGACCCTTCCAGGTTTCAACGTCTTGGTTCCATTGACACTCATGATTCTACATTGACTTCTGAAATTCGATTTCAGAAACGTCTTGTCAAATGGGTAAAAAGTGGTGTTCTTTCTTCTGAAATGGCGGAGCAATTGAGACCGCTTGGCTCTATTCGTCCCCGTCTTTATGGGTTACCCAAGATTCATAAGAAGGGTGTCCCGTTGAGACCCATATTATCGATGATTGGGTCTTCACAGCATAAAGTCGCAAAGTGGCTTGCTATATTCTTGCAACCAGTGTTGCAGCATTACAGTTCCTTTTGTATTACAGATTCGTTTTCTTTTTCCAAATTCATTCGGAATTGTGATGCCACTTATGGATTTATGTGTTCCTTTGACATCTGTAGCCTTTTCACTTGTGTTCCTTTATCGGAGATTATTGATATTTGCAGCGATATGTTATATCGCAGCGATTTGACTCCTCCGAATATACCTGAAGAAGTGTTCGTTGAACTCATGAAATTTGCCACTATGTTTGTCGATTTTAGTTTCGACAATATCATGTATCGTCAGATCGATGGTGTAGCGATGGGTTCCCCTTTGGGTCCTGTGTTGGCAAATATTTTTGTGGGTTTTTATGAAGAAAGCCTTTTGTTAAGTTCTGCCCGACCCAAGGTTTACTTTCGGTATGTGGATGACACTTTTTGTGTGTTCAGCCATAAATCGGAAGTGGATCAATTTTTTTCCCTACTCAATGGTGTTCATCCTGCCCTTAAATTTACAGTAGATAAGAAGGTCAATGTTTCATTGCCCTTTTTAGATGTTCTTGTTCAAAGAACTATTTCCTTGTTTATTACCTCTGTGTACAGGAAGTCTACTTTTACAGGACTATATACTCGATGGGACTCCTTTTGTCCTAAACAACAAAAGATTAATTTGATTAGGACCCTGACACATAGGGCGTTAATGATTTGTTCGGGTGACACCTTGAAACATGAAATCAGTTGTTTAACTGAGATCTTTGTGAACAATGGTTATCCGTTGAACATTGTTCAATCGGTTATTCGAGATGAGACTACCAGGTTCAACAAAATCAAACCTGCTTCAGTGAGTAAATGTCCAGTCTATCTTCTTTTACCGTGGTTGGGTAGGATTAGTGAATCTTTCGCCAAGCGTATTTCATGTAGTTCACGTGAGTGTTATTTTGCAGCGAACGTTCGTGTTGTCATTTCAAACTAAGTCCGTACTTCCATCTATGTGTAAAGATGTTCTACACCCCCCCCCCACCATATTAACTCTGTTATTTACTATTTCAAATGTAGTTGTGGATGCGACTACATAAGTAGAACAACACAGCGGTTGGACGTTAGAATTAAACGTACCTGCTATAATACTGAACAAAAAATTTTCTTTAGGCGATACCTTTCGTAACACGTATGGGTCATCGATTGCGGATCACTTTATAAAGAATCCAACTTGTGCGATGGATTTCAGTGTGAACTGGTTTTCCGTTTTGGCCAGTTTGAACTCACTTTTCTTTCTTAAGGTGTTGGAGTCGCTTTACATCAGGTCCAGGCAACCTGCTCTTTGCAAACAAAGAGATTGTTTGCTTGGACTTGCTGTTCTGCGCTTCTAACACCTTGGTTGGCATAAAAATTTTTTTTCCCTGTCCACTCATTCATGTCATACATGACAGCCTTTTTTTCTTTTTCTCATAATCTTAGTTCCCCGTTAACAGTTCTGACGAGAGGGGACGAAACTGGTCGACTGGTGTATGTTTTGTTTTAAACTTATCATGGCCTACAATATAAAATTTCTTGCTTTTAATGCCTTAATACGCTTTTGTACCGTTTCAAACCTATTTAAATCTATCTATCTATCTATCTATCTATCTATCTATCTATCTATCTATATCAAGAAATATAGTCTTAAGATGTGCTATATTTATGGGATAAAATGCTCAATATCAGAGATAGATCGTGTGTAAATATAAAAGTGAACATAGAAGTCAACACTTAGAGGCGACTGTCTGTTTCATGCTAGATGCAATCCTCAGGCCAGATATATATATATATATATATATATATATATATATATATGTGTGTCATACAGTAATTCATTGAACTCAGAATAATCTTCAGCAGAATGCGGAAAGTACTTGACGGCCGTTTCGTCTTATTTGGGACTCATCAGCAGTGTGCATCCACTATCGAGAATCGAACCCAGTCCGTTTCGATACAAAGTAAGAGTCATATCTACTGTACCAACGGGCATATAGCGCTGCTACTCACAAATTCTGCGGTGATACTCATCCAAGTATTCATAACCCAACGGATTGTGCCTCTATCGCAGAGCATTAGCTGGGCCAAGCAAGGATATACAAGTGATCGAATTTTGTTGCTCTTGGGGCACAGCCAGTTAGGTTAGGAATACTGGGTTGAGTATCATCACGGAATTCGTGAGTAGCGGCGCTATATCGAGTCTAGTCAGTTTCTTCTTCGTCACCGAGGCCCGTTTGTACAGTTGATATCACGCTTGCGTTGTTCCGGGTTCGAATCTCGGTAATGGATGTGAACTGCTGATGAGTCCCAAAACGAAACGGCTGTCCAGTGCTTTCTGAATTCTGTTGAGGATTCTTCTAGACTCGATAAATTAATATACTGATTTGCCTAAATCCCCCAAATTCTGTTAATGTGATGGAGCGTTTCGGGGGAAAAGAAAGGCGTGGCTCTAGGGGCACAATCCGTTAGGTTATAAATACTTGGATGAGTATCGCCACGGAATTTGTGAGTAGCGGCGCTTTATCGAGTCTATTCAAATTCTTCTTCGTTACCGATACCCGTTGGTATCACGCTGGCGTTGTATGGGAACAGTCCGGGTTCGAATCCCAGTAGTGGATCCGAACTGCTGATGAGTCCCAAAATAGAACGAAACGCCCGTCCAGTGCTTTCTGCATTCTGTTGAGGATTCTTCTAGACTCAATGAATTACTCTATTGATAATTCTAATTCTTCAAAATTCTAGATAGATAGATAATGAAGAAACATGTATCGATAGATAGATAGATAATGAAGTGACTATGATAGATAGATAGATAGATAGATAGATAGATAGATAAATAGATAGATAGATAGATAGAAACGGACTGGGGAAAATTAGATCTCGAGTCAAATATTAGCTAAACAGACTGAGATAGAAAGCTAGATAAAAAGAAGAAATTGAGATAACTAGCTAGCTAGCTAGCTAGCTAGCTAGAAAGAAAGAAAGAAAGAAAGAAAGAAAGAAAGAAAGAAAGAAAGAAAGAAAATGAACAGGCTGAGAAAGAAAGAAAGAAAGAAAGAAAGAAAGAAAATGAATAGGCTGAGAAAGAAAGAAAGAAAGAAAAAGAAAGAAAATGAACAGGCTGAGAAAGAAAGAAAGAAAGAAAGAAAAAGAAAGAAAGAAAGAAAATGAACAGGCTGAGAAAGAAAGAAAGAAAGAAAGAAAGAAAGAAACTGGGAGATAGATCGATAGATCTGAAAAGATTTAGATAAATATAGGTGACGTTATCTACATATATTTAATGAACCCCTTTCAGGCTTTTTTGAATGCCCACACACCCTTATATTTTCTTTTTTTTGTGGGGAAGAATGAATCGTATCAGGCAGAATCACATTTGCGCATTTTTCGTAACGAATCCTATGCCCACTAATCAAGTGGCCGGTACTTGGTGTAATCAGGTCGACTCGTGCTTATCAATATCTCCTTCCGCAGTAGTGAAGCGGTCGGCTTGATCACTGTCCATCTATGATAGTCTTTAACGATAAGCGGATAGAAAATCTGGTGCTTGTGAGTGGGGGGAGGTGAAGTAAAAAGGAAATAAAATAAATATTGTCGACGTGATCTGGATTTATTACAGATAATAACTGAGAAAGTGAGTTAAATATGAATTAAAAAAATAGAACCCGCAGAATGGAAAACATTAAGTATTAACTCTCCTAATATGCAGGAAGTTAAGGGGAGCTAAGTTTGGCGCAAGGTCACCAAGTTAGTATTCATTTCATTTGGCATATAACGTGAGGGGTTGAGAATTCTAATGGATGGTGATGAGAACTTTAAAAAGAAAGGAATTCATGAAAAAAACCGCTTATATATTTATAAAGAACAACCTGGTTTAGAGAAGAAAAGAGACAGTAAATTATATTTACCAGCGTATCTCAAAATAGAAAGAAAAACATTTATATGCTTCGCTGTGTGTGTGTGTGTGTGAGAGAGAGAGAGAGAGAGAGAGAGAGAGAGAGAGAGAGAGAAAGAGAGAGTGGGCCACGTAGTTGGGTTGAAATTAAGTAGTCATCTTGTCAGAAAATTATTGTCCCGGAGGAATAGTGGATAACATCTTGTACCAACCACACCCAATGGATGAAAGCTGAAAAAAAATTGAACGCAAGATAAAGTGTGCGAACGTGTGTGTGTGTGTGCGTGTGTGTTTAAAAAAGATAGATAGATAGATAGAGAGAGAGAGAGAGAGAGAGAGAGAAAGAGAGAGAGGGAGTTGGCCAAGTAGTTGGGTTGAAATTAAGTAGTCATCTTGTCAAAGTATTATCCCAGAGGAATAGTGGATAACATCTTGTTCCTACCACACCCAATGGATGAAAGCTGAAAGGAATAGAACACAAGATAAAATGTGTGTGTGTGTGAAAGAGAGAGAGAGAGAGAGAGAGAGAGAGAGAGAACAAGAGAAAGAGATAGTGAATATGCCACGTAGTTGGTTTGAAATTAAGTAGTCATCTTGCCAGAGAAGTATCGTCCGAGAAGAATACAGGATAACATCAGGTACCTACCCCATTTAATGGGTGAAAGACGAGAAAAATAGAACGAAAGAGAAAGTGCATGAGTGTGTGTGTGTGTGTGTGTGTGGGTGTGGGTGAGAGAGAGAGAGAGAGAAAGAGAGAGAGAGAGAGAGAGAGAGAGGGATGTGCCACGTAGTTGGGTTGAAATTAAGCAGTCATCCTGCCAGAGAAATATCGTCCCGGAGGAATATCGGATAATCTTGTATCTAATCCACCCAGTGGGTGGAAAGCCGAAAAAATAGAACGAAAGAGAAAGTGTGTATGTGTAAGAGAGAGAGAGAGAGAGAGAGAGAGAGAGAGAGAGAGAGAGAGAGAGAGAGGAATTTATGTTTCTTCTTTTAATAGTCCTAAATTAGAACATCACCAAGCGGTGTTATGAGAAGTTAATTGATAGAAGGCATGCGTTAATGCCACAAGCATAGTCTCAGACAATGTCCAAATAATGCTGCATATGTTGATTACCCAAAGAAGACATATTTTTGTATCGACATTTCATAGCAGATGGCTACATCATATATATATATATATATATATATATATATTGATATATATATATTTGATATTCTTCGATGCTTAGAATATTGCTGGCCGTAGGCGATCATGGCTCGCCACCTCCCTCTATCCTTTGCAGCTCTCAGTAAGCTCCTTCCTTCTGCATCCTCCCCCAGACCACGTTCTGTCATCCACTTGCTTAAGCCCGCCAGGTAAGTCACGCGTGGTTTTCCCTTGTCTCTCTTTCCCTCTATTCGATCTGTGAGTATCAGATTCTCCAGGCCCTCCTTCCTCATTATATGCCCCAGAAACTTCAGCTGCCTCTTCCTGATGTTAAGTATAAGCCTCCTCTTTTTTTCCAAACCTTTCTAAGGCCTCATCGTTGCTCACACACTTGATCCATGTTATACTTAACATCCTTCTGTAGAACCACATCTCAGTTGCCTCGAGTTTTTTCTTCAACTTTGAGGAGACCGTCCAACATTCGCCGCCGTAAAGGAGGACAGATGCTATTGAAAATGAGATATTGGTTTTTGAACGCGCCAAAGCAACGCTGAGTTTGAAATTTTTTTTTTATTTTAAAGTGTTTGCGTTTATACCAAATATGGTAATGAACAAATTATTTTACTGGTAAATTTTACTGTCAAAGTGGCATGAACTATATTTCATATATATAGCATTTCGGATACAATACACATATATTTTCGATGTCCTCTTATTACTAAGAGAAAAAAACAAGAACAACATCTATTATATACCTGAAGATGTCTGTAGGAACAGACGAAAGCTTGTAGTAAAAATAACAACTAATACGGCAGAAATTTATATAAACAAAGATCAATTCATTCATAACGGATCTGGAGGTTTTTGTGTACTATTTGAATTGTTTGCGAGATGGATGTCTCACCATTTAAATCATTAACCTTTGCATTAGTTTTGTGTGAATAATTCATGTATATATATATATATATATATACAACAATGTATGTATTAAGAAAAAGTGTACATAGACAATAACAGAAGATTGTTGCGTGTGACAAAACATTATGAAAGAAGAAAACATTTAAAGAATTTATTACAAGAAACCATTAAAACAAGTGAATGTGTCTCTGTGTACAAAGTTTGTGTAGGAAAAATTCTTAGAGAAAAGTACATTATAGTTAAGCGCAAAGTGCCTCCCCCAGTGGGGAACATATTTTCTCCGCGTGCGACCTACATGTTAACGTCTGAGAGAATAAAAGAAGAGAGATGACAGAGAATGTCAATGCCTATTTAAGGGAAATGCACGGACGTAGTTGTACACATCCGTGACAAACGAGAGTCGAGCCGGTAATGGCCAGCAATCTGATATATTCTTGTTTGTTTTAAATTTCTTTTGAGTCGAGTGCGGTGTGTGTGTGTGTGCATGTGCCTTAGCTAGACGAAAATTGTTATGTAATTACAGATATATGTTTTATGAATAATCAAGAGTGGTCTTCCCTTGTTTTGTTAATCTCCTCTTTGAGAGAGCTATTTCTGTTTACTGGGACTATAAAAGGACACTATACGCCAACCTTGTATTCTCAGTTGAATAAAGCTTTCTTAAAGCCTACACCTGCCTACTTTTGTCATTACAATATGTATTCTAATAATTGTATAAATTTGTCATTAATTTGTTATCTCTATGTGTAAACTGTATTTTTCTGCTACACATCGATAAACAAATTCCGACATTACTTAAAACAGATCAGGTAAGTAGTGTCCTATATTCGCTCGATGTAGAAAATCTCTTTTCTAACGTCCCAGTTGATGAAAAAATCGACATAATTTGTGAATGCATCTAGAAAGATCCGCCAATTCTTCCTCCCAAAATTCTACTAGAATCTCTTCGGAAATTATTTCTCACCTGCACCGCAAATGCTGCATTCTACAAATTGGCAACATCTAAGTCCAAACTAATGCAGTCAGTATGGGGACCTATTAGGTCTTGCCTTCTCTAACTTTTACATGTCGCATATTGAAAACAAATTATTCGAAACAACAAAGCACAGATTTACTCAAGTACGTTGACGGAATATTTGTTTTGATAAAAAAATAAATATGAAATTATAAATTTAAAATCAACATCTGTGTATATTTCTGAGATGAGGTAATTATGTACATTATTCATATTGTTATCCTCATCTTCATTTCCATATTCACAACTTTTCAGTTTCTATATCTCTGAGATGAGGTATCATGATTACTTGAATTATTTACATTATTCGGACTGTTATCCTCACCCTCCTTGCCATATTCACAACGTTTCAGCCGTTGTACGCCACGGCCTTCTTCAGGTGACTGGAATTTCGAACCAAACCCCGGTAGATAAAATAAAGGATTCGGTTCGAGAATCCAATCATCTGAAGAAGGCCGGAATGTACAACGGCTGAAACGTTGTGAATACGGCAATGAAGATGAGGATATTAGTCCAAATAATGTAAATAATCTAAGTAATTATAATAGCTCATCTCAGAGATATAGACAGATAGAGAATTAGATATGAACATAAATAGAGAAGGAAATAGACTGATGGATATGAATAGAATACTTAAAATGGAATAAAGGATTCGGTTCGAATATCCAATCACCTGAAGAAGGCCGGAGTGTACAACGGCTGAAACGTTGTGAATACGGCAATGAAGATGAGGATAACACTCCGAATAATGTAAATAATGCAAGTAATCATTATACTTCATCTCAGAAATATAGAGGCCGAAACGTTGTAAATATAGAAATGAAATGAGGATAACAGGCTGAATAATGTAAACAATGCAAGTAATCATGATTCCTCATCTCAGAGATATAGAGGCCAAAACGTTGTGAATATGGAAATGGAGATGAGGATTACAGTCCGAACAATGTAAATAATGCAAGTAATCAAAATACCTCATCTTCATTGCCGTATTCACAATGTTTCAGTCGTTGTACACTCCGGCCTTCTTCAGGTGATTGGATATTCAAACCGAATCCTTTATTTTATCCACCGGGGTTTTGTTCGAAATTCCAATCACCTGAAGAAGGCCGGAGCGTTCAACGACCGAACATTGTGAATATGGAAATAAAGATGAGGATAACAGTCCGAATAATGTAAATAATGCAAGTAATCATAATACGTCTTCTCGGAGATATAGACAGATAGAGCGATGGATATGAATATAAATAGATAGAGAAATAGACTGATAGATATGAATGGAATACTTAAAATGGAATAAAGGGTTCGGTTCGAAGTTCCAATCACCTGAAGAAGGCCGGAGTGTACAACAGCTGAAACGTTGTGAATACGGCAAGGGAGGTGAGGATAACAGTCCGTCTAATGTAAGTAATAAAACTAAAATCAACTTTCGAAAAGATCTCCGTACTAAAATGTACGCACGAACTCGTTGTTAAAAGCAAAATCCCATTCCATGACGTTGGGTATAGAACTGGAATGCAAAGAACTTAACAATTACCCTTATAAAAACTTGTCTTTTAAAGTATGATAACTAATGCTCTGAAAGACATAAAAAAGCAGCCATAAAATAACTTCCTAGCTCACCTAAGATCTACTTCCCAGAAAATATTTCTGAGTGGACTAAAACACTTAAAGCAAACATTAGTTAACTATAATTCTCCCAAATACATAATCGATAAACAAATAAAATTATTCTTACAAAAACACGACACCAGTAATAAAAATGCCACAAAACAAAACATCAACATATTTTACTGCAACCAGATGCATGATAATTACAAGCAGGACGAATTCGCTGTACGAAGAATCATTAAACATCATATTTCTGCCGCAATTGCCGAAAAACATGAAGTAGAAAAACAATATTGACTCCATTCCTAGGTCAGCTGCTAAGAAAGGTTGTTCATTGTGTCATGCTAGATACATATCTATAAATTTAGCACTACTTCCATGCTTAGAATATTACTGCCACCTTTATTGTTGTTCACCGGAGACTTTATCTGTTAGAACATAATTTAATAAATTGACGGGTGAGCGCTTTTTTTAAAAATTTAATTTCTGAGTACTCAGTAATTTTAAAAATGTTAAAATTATTTCCCCTAATCTAATTTTAAGAATTTTGACTTTAAATATATTGTAGCTGTCGTTCTTAATTTTTTTTTTTTGATAATGTTGTGTATGGTGAACCATACTTTCAAACAGGGGGTAGGTTAAGAGTCTGTCTATATTTCTGAGATGAGGTATTATGTACATTATTTACATTATTCGGACTATTGTCCTCATCTTTGTCGCCTCAAGGACACATGGCACAGTGGATAAAGGCTTTGGTTAGACCCAAAGAGTGTGAGTTCAATACCCGGTTAAGGCAGTGGAGAACTTTCAGAGGGAAATTAGCAGGAGATAACTGATAACTGACATCCATTAAAAACATGGCACGTGGAACTAGAACAGTCTACCCCAGTGAGCGAAATAAAGGGTTATGTTCGAAATTCCAACCACCTGAAGAAGGCCGGAGCGTACAACGGCCGAAACGTTGTGATAAATATGGCGACAAAGATGAGGACAATAGTCCGACTAATGTAAATAATGTAGGAGTAGGTTAAGTAATATATTATATACAAAAATAAATAAATAAATAAAATAAAAAATTATTTTAAAAAACTTGCAACAAAATACTTTGCATTAAGCTTTTCAGTTTTTGATTAGTAAATATAGTTTTCACTTAATAACTATTGATGAATTTACCCATGGCACAACCATTTACTTCTCTCTCGATAGTAAGTCCGATCGGCTTGATAAAGTCAAATTTGGCAGCTGGTCTCAAAAACGTTGTTTACTGTCTTTTGTTTACTGGGGCAAGGAATGGCTTGTTCATTTTAGCTCCTCTCAAACTAATCTGCTCTATATTAATCATCTGAGATGCCACTTTTTGCTTTCCATCAGCATGGCTGATGCTAACACCCAGGAGAGTGACTCATTTCGCCTTCTCGGGCTAACATTCTCTTCTGATATGAAGCAGAAAAAACT